ATGGACCCGAACATCTTGGCGACGTTGATGATGAGGGAAATTCAGATGTGACAAGCCATCATTCTGACGAGTCCGCTTTTGACAGGGATGAAGATGTCAAATATAAAGCAAAACAAAAAGCTCGGCGAGAAGAAAAGACTAAAGAACGCCGCAAAGAGAAATTCAAGGAGAAACTTGCTAAAGGATCTGCCAAGGTATCTCCGTATGACGTACTCGCAATCGCAATCCAGGATTACTGTAAACTATTATTAGGCATCACCCGGAAAGCTCGCAACACATCCGTTGGGTCGTCTCTTCCAGCACCTCCTTCCTCAGATGAGTTCCGCGCTTGGGACACGCGTAAGGTTGCAGCACGGCGCCTTGTTGATCAATGTATTAAACAGGCACGCTCGAGGTATTCTCGAAAACATCCTTCAGCAACTTCACGACAGCTCGCATTGGTTGAAAAAGATGCAGTTGAAGACGCCCAATCACAAATAACACCTGCTCCATTTCTCTCTGTAATATCGCATAATAATCATGTGGGGAAATATTCCGGTGATGTTGCTTCTTCTTGCGAGGCTGCCTTAGCCTTAGCTGGATTCCCTCGTTTTACATTTGATTGGAACAAGCCTATCAAATCCAGGTGGAATGAAGAAATTGCAAGAGTTGTACTTCAAGAGTGGGAGAAGGCTTATAGATGTGGGGATGCTGATGATTACCTTATTGTAAACAGCCAAGTGACTCCTGAAAATAAATATCAAATTCTTGAAAGATGGCTCACGACAAAAAAGCGAGAATATTCAAAGCAGTGTAAGAATGAGGGACTTTTAGCAGCTGATCCTGACGCAGCCGAGCTTCTGGCTGAGAAGCATCGGGCTTCACGGGAAAGAATTGCGCTTCGCAAAGTCAAACAGAACGTAAGCTCTCCATTCATGGGCATGCACTCAATATTCTTGATTACTGATCTGACAATCTTGACTTGATTATTCAGGTCTCCATGATCCGACACGAGACATTCCTCAAGTACTTCCCCAAACGAGTACCTCAGTACGCTGAATCGCTCGTATATATTGACAAAGATCTACACTCTGAGGCGAAGTGCGATGATGCAAGCGGTACCAGCTAGCAGCGCCCTTACTGGTGTTGAAGTCTGTTTTT